AAAATATACTGTTTACTGCAACAATGGCAATGACAATGATAGTACAGAAAACAACTACGGCAATAGCTATGGTGGTGACGACTACGATGACGGCAACATTGACAGCATAATCAGCAAAATCGAATTAGATTGTGCGCAAATTCCTAAACCATTGATTTGGTTGTATTATTTTCATATATAAAAGATATTCACATTGTTATTACTTTCTTGGTTCACTGAAATTTCTACTAGGAGCTCCTCTCCGAAACGCTGAACTATTGGCAGAACATACTGCGACGCAAGCACGATAAAAACGATGAAAGTGTTTTTCAGAAACTTCACTTTTGCCTGAACAATAATGTATTCAAAAAACAAAACAAAAAAAAGAGTTTCGAGTACGCCGCCTTACAACGCTGATCCTAATCAAATCGTTAAGAACGGCGAAGACTTTATTTATTATTGCGGCCTATCCGACTTTTGTCATATTGGAAATGCTTTCTACTTTATCGTTTATCACTTTCAGCAAAGTCTACATTACATCTCTGGATGCGAGAATGGTTGTCATACTGTACAATACGTGAAGAACAATGAGGAAGAATTGAGTTACATAACTATGTGCAACATACATCCCAACCAGAAAGACTTTTATATGTACAGCGATAACAATGGCATTTTCAGTTGCATTCCCAGTCAAGTTTCCTACTTCGTTTACCACTTTTCAAAGTATAACTTTTACAAGATCGACAACTACTACCATGACGATGGCAACAGCAATAGCAGCTACCATAGAGAACAAAAATTACCTAGCCACACTATCGACGACGCTGGTTCAAGCATCGAGCCAATAGAAAATTGTGAAATTAATACAACAGTTTTATCTAATAATGCTGCCACTCACACGAGCGCAAGTAACAAGGGCAAACTCGACATTATCGATGGCGTAATTCGGGCAGTCTATAATGACTGTATTGTTGCTCTGGGACTGCCATCAGAAGATGATATTATTGACATGATTACGGAGTGGCGAAAACATGGGAAGGGTAAGAATTCCGTCAATTCGTTTATAGTATATCGCACACTCTTATCCAAACAAATACATGATAAAAGAAAAAATTTTAAGCGTGGAGATTTTCAATGTTATGTTAGCGAATTCGCAAGCAGGACCTGGAAGGGGAAAAGCGCGTCTGCTGAAAAGGCAATAAAAGATCTTGCGGCTGCAATCAACAAGCGTATAAAGTTG